CTGGTCACAGCGGTGTCAGGTCTTATAAGGCGGGGGTAGGCGTGGGTAGATAGTTGACCCCCGCTCCGTAGGCGGCGCTGGAGGCGTAGGCTGGGGAATTCGAGAAGGTTCGGTGCTTGTAGGGGAGGAATCCACTACAGCCTTCCTTTGGACATTTTCAATCAACTGACAGTCCCTAGCATTTCTTGGGGACCAGTACTCCAGACGGGGAAACACCTCACTCTAGAAAATCGTTACGAGGGACGGTCTAGATATCTGAACGACCTTCTTATAAGACCTAATAATTTATTTGCCAGATTCGCCGTCTCGCAATGGCCCGAGAACTTCAGCTCGTTGTCAACATACACACCTAGGTCCTTTTCACATTCAGTTTCAATTAATGCAGTTTCTTCGTCCGGTTGGGAAATAGGATACGCCTCTTTACCGTTGGTACGACCCAGGTGCAGCCTCTTACACTTCGTGACATTGAATCTTAGCAGTCATTTCTTCGCCCATTCTTGAAGGTCACAGAGATCTTTCTGCAATTCTTAACAATCTGTTTGGTTCTTAATTTCCCTAAATAACTTGGCATCGTCCGTAAACATTTGTATGAAGGAGTGTATAGCTTCTGGCATGTCATTTATGAAACAGACAAAAAACAACGGGCCCAGTACACTGCCCTGTGGTACCCCGCTTGTCACGGGTACACATGACGATTTTGTACCATTAATCACCACACACTGCTTGCGATCACGCAGAAAGTCTCCGATCCACGCTAGGACACTTCCCCGAATACCTTACCCTTCCAGTTTAATTCTCAGCCTTTCTTGGGGTATGGTGTCGAAAACCTTGGCAAAATCAAAGTATATATTGTCGATATTACCACCCTGTTCCAGAATTTCTGTCCAAGCATCCATTACCTTATATTAATTGAATAATTGTGTTAAACAGGAGCGTTCCGGCATAAAGTCCTTGTAAAGGACTGCCAGCACGACAGTCCTTTACAAGGTTGTTTTGTAGATGTTCCATCATGGCATCTCTTAAAATGCTCTCAAGTACTTTACACGCTATGCTGGTCAGGCTCACTGGTCTATGGTTGATCGTGGAGTGACGATCGCCCTTCTTGAAGATAGAACTCACATAAGTCATTTTCCAATCACTGGAGGTCTTTTGCTCACCCAGGCATCTACAGAACAGGATCTTCAGGGGCTCAGCAAGCTCGTTGCACAACTCTCTTAGCACTCTGGTATACTGCCAGACTGGGGTCACTAATCCTAAGGGGGAATACTTAAATCTAATCGTAATTTCTAAGGGTCGCTGCCACCAGACCCCCTCTGGACAGCATGTAGTTCGTTAGGTAGCGTGCAGAGTGGACTTGGCATTGGGTTAGGTTTTCCATTGACCAGATCGATAAGGGGAAAGAAGGGTGAAACCATAACATATTTTAATGAATTTATTCCTTATAAAGCATACTGGTAAAAAACATACAATTGAATGGGTCTTCCTCAGAAGAACAACGAAAATGTTGGTTACCCAGATGGGCACCAGATGTCTTACATAAATGGCGTGTCATCCACATACTTATTGTATAACAATCTGTGACCACCTTAGTCATTCCTTCTTACACTATCCCTTAACACATCAGACTGATCCACCTATATGGAATATAGCACCGTCGGTTATCATACATAGTAGCACCATCTCAACGCACATGTTACACTCCACCCCTGCAGGTATGGGACTCCTTGTAACTTTTAGGTATACACAACAGGCACCTCGTTCGCACACCGCCCTCGGTGGGTAAAGACGAGGGCTTCACCCAGAGACATACCAGTACTATTTCTACGCCTGGTATTATAGGTCGCTCCAAGTGACGACCGCAGAGTTTCTCACGGTCTCCTTATTTGTGACTACTCATTTGGAGTGGTGTGCTGGAAATCCACAGGTTCACAGTGGAGTGGCATAGCTGGGAGTAGTCACCACCTGTTGGGACGCTCATAGGGATAATGGCTGCCGGGCAGCAAGGCACTCGGACCGCATGGAACCTGAGGTGACGGTAGAACGGAGGGTACTGAGAAATAATGCCTGACGGGCGGTTATCACACCCCCTAACACATTACTATTACACTTATATATCAGGCAAAGCTTTAAGCTGTAATAACTTCTATATAAGCCTTAATTATAGGGTGGGATATAGCCCGATAGGACACTGACCTGAGGTGACGGTAGAACGGAGGGTACTGAGGGCAGTGCCCTGCCGCTCGTCACCACGTAGGCCTACAGTTTCCAATCTTTAATTTTTACTTTTATTTCTTACGGTTCTCACCTGAACACTTTTCGGTATATTGTCACTCATGCCGTATAAACACATATTTTAATCCTAAATTACACACTAAGGTAAGGTCTTGGTTTGCTAGTTCGTGGGTAAATTCATTGGGTTATAATATCAACGCAGCACACCCGAGGCGGGTGCATGACGCGCCTTAAAACAAAGGCTGAATGTTCATGGCGGGGGTGTATTAACTTCACTTAAAACTGTAATGAGGGATCCTCCTCTCACACATTGCACTATTTGAACACAGACATAAGATTCTCTGATCACTGTACCTGTCGTGGGTATATGTCACGTGAGGATACGAGGTGTATTAAGTTCATACCGACGCATACAAGATTATTTCCTTTCAAGTATAGTTTCTGGGTCACTTCCAACACCTCACATAGTTCTGATATATTTATCCCTTTTCCAGATCATTGTTCTCATGTATTTTCATATAATATCTGTGGAAGTTATGTTCGCTACACGTTCACAGACGTAAATAGTATGACCTTCAAACCCTGATCCACACTTAGTCCTTCAGTACACTAGTCCGGCTCAACTGGACTTTAACATTCATCTTATGGATACCCTGAGTTCTCCTTAATGCTATGAATACATACAATTAATATGATATAACTGTACCTGGGTACAATACAACACATGGTCTAGTAACATTGAGTAGGTGAGTTATCCTTTAACAGTGTTTCCCGTTTTCTGAGATTCTACAAGAGCGGTGGATTTGAATGTTATATAGCGTAATATGAATTAAATGGGATTTTAGGAATGACAATGATGTGCGCAGTACACTGGGATGCACCATGTCAGGGCCGGGACTCTTATGAACCTTTAGCTTTGACAATTTATTTTTTATAACCTCGTCTGAGAACACAATGTGGGTCAGCGCTGTGTCGAACCGTCTGTCCTCAAACGCAGAAAGATTGTTCGCATCCTCCCTTATGAACACCGAGGAAACGAAACTGTTCAACGCCTCCGGCTTGTCCTGGTCAGAATCTGCCTAACTACCATCTTCAAGTCTCAGGTCCGATACACCGAGGCTACGATGAAATTTCGTAAATATGATAGGCGGTTTTATTTATATTTTTCAGTTGAAAATTTGCTGGTTAAAATACAGTGTTTAGAATTTGTTGGTTCTCTGCGTTTATTATGAAACCAAGGATTTGGAAGTACATTTTCTAGCGTGTCTGTGTTTTATTCCCAATCGAGCGACCACATTTCCACCCATCTTAACGAAAATTTCACAGGCGGCCGTCCGCCTTGTCCTAGACTAGGCACTTTTGTTCTCCGGTCACCACCAGACAAAGATCAAGATCACAGCTCACTGGAAAATCTGACTCTACTCTATGAGACTTTATTATTATTTATTGATCTTAATAAAGTTTCATAAGCGAAAGTTATCACTATTCCCCAGTAAATATTGTACTTAGTTGACCACCTAAGGTTAGGGCAGTTTCAACCAAACTTCGTGGGCGGCTATACTGCACTGTATTACAACACTAAGTGTGTCTTAAGTTCACAACAGTTGTAACACTTAGTGTGTCTCAAGTTCACGACAGTTGTAACACTTAGTGTGTCTCAAGTTCACAACAGTTGTAACACTTAGTGTGTCTCAAGTTCACGACAGTTGTAACACTTAGTGTGCCTCAAGTTCACGACAGTTGTAACACTTAGTGTGTCTCAAGTTCACGACAGTTGTAACACTTAGTGTGTCTCAAGTTCACAACAGTTGTAACACTTAGTGTGTCTCAAGTTCACGACAGTTGTAACACTTAGTGTGTCTCAAGTTCACGACAGTTGTAACACTTAGTGTGTCTCAAGTTCACGACAGTTGTAACACTTAGTGTGTCTCAAGTTCACGACAGTTGTAACACTTGTTGTGTCTCAAGTTCACGACAGTTGTAACACTTAGTGTGTCTCAAGTTCACGACAGTTGTAACACTTAGTGTGTCTCAAGTTCACGACAGTTGTAACACTTAGTGTGTCTCAAGTTCACGACAGTTGTAACACTTAGTGTGTCTCAAGTTCACGACAGTTGTAACACTTAGTGTGTCTCAAGTTCACGACAGTTGTAACACTTAGTGTGTCTCAAGTTCACGACAGTTGTAACACTTAGTGTGTCTCAAGTTCACGACAGTTGTAACACTTAGTGTGTCTCAAGTTCACGACAGTTGTAAGACTCAGTATGTCTTATGTTCACGACAATTGTATGACTCAGTATGTCTTAAGTTCACGACAATTGTAATACCGTACTTAATATGTCTTAAGGAGCAAAGGAGAACCAACAGAGTTAATAAAGTATTATATATATATCTAAATCACAATGTGATACTACCAAAATTCATATAATAATTATTTCGAGTTCGGACAACTTTGTACAGTATTCTGAAGTTAGTGTCTAGTTCAATGACAATATAAAATGTTGTTGGAAAGGGTCATGAAGTCGCCCTCACGTCTGACGCTTTCTGACCATGATAAGTCCTCACTCTTGTCCCTCCTGCTGTCTGCTGGTGGTGTCAGTCAACCACAGGTGAGTATAAGACCTTCCTGATGATGGTTGTAGTGGTGTCAACCACAGGTGAGTATAAGACCTTCCTGATGGTGGTTGTAGTGGTGTCAACCACAGGTGAGTATAAGACCTTCCTGATGATGGTTGTAGTGGTGTCAACCACAGGTGAGTATAAGACCTTCCTGATAATGGTTGTAGTGGTGTCAACCACAGGTGAGTATAAGACCTTCCTGATAATGGTTGTAGTGGTGTCAACCACAGGTGAGTATAAGACCTTCTTGGTGGTAGTGGCAGTGGTGTCAGTCAACCACAGGTGTGCATATATAAGACCTTCCTGATAATGGTGGCAGTCAACCACAGGTGCGTAGAAGACCTTCCTGGTGGTGGTGGTGGTGGTGGTGGTGATGGTGGTGGTGGTGGTGGTAGTGGTGTCAGTCAGCCATAGGGATATAGAGGACTTCCTTACGGTGCCTGATGAGGGTAGACCTGTAGGTCTCCCCACGGAGGGACGCCCTCAGCCGTGGTCGGTGCCTGATGAAGGACGGCTGTTGGCCGATCTCCCCCAGTGTCAGCGGCTGGCTGGATTTTTTACTGCAGGAGAACCAAACGAGTTAGTAGTAAAGTGAAGGAATTCCCGGGTCAGTAATATAAATGTTACATCATCATCACCAAGAGTAAGAGGTACCAAGATTATTTCACCTTAAAACTAGGTATAATTTAACACGCTCATATACACTCCTTACACACATCCTGCTACATATATACTATACACATAACGACCTTATAGCCCTATGAATGTAAATAAATGTCAGAGCATACACGTAACACATGCTGACATAAATATAAATATATTGTTATGAAAACTTACACATACACAAAATACGGCAATGCAGAAATTTTATTCATCCACATATACTTCTGTAACACATACGCAAACTCTCAACACATACATACATGTTTATATACACATACTTTTCTGACCCACTCCACCCTTCACTTACTCCTTTTCGATGCAGGGGAAGTAGAAGAAGGCCTGGTCCTTGCCGAAGTTTTCACCGTCAGCGAGGGTCTGAGGCAGGTCCCTGTGTAGGGTCTCTGGCAACAGCAGCGCCACCAGCCCTCCGATCACTGACGCCACCCCCAGCACCACCAGCGGGACCAAGGGATTGATCGTACCCTGGGAGAGGGCAAATATGAGTCAGGAGGTGGAGGGGGGCTTTTTTTTTTACGGGGATTAGCCCACCCGGGCACAGGTCACTGACCCACATTGGGGCCTGGGGGGCGAAAATGTAATAATAATAATATTAATAATAATAAATAATAGTTATAATAATTCATAATAAATAAAATTTATGATAAAACAAACAAAAATAAAATAATGATGATAATAATACAGTAACTGTAATAATAATAATAATAATATTAAGAATAAAGAACTATAAATACAAAAATGAAATAAAAGATCAAAAGTGAGAAGCGATATGTGTATGTTGTGTTGTCAATGGTAAGAGAAACAATTGAGACCCTGCAATTGCGTGTAAATGAAGCAGAAAGTCAGATCAGCAACCTGGGACTTGGTCACAATTTTCGTGATGCCATATGGCAGCAGGGTCTACCATTAGACAACACATTATGCTTCCAATATCTTCGCAAGCGGTAGTACCTCCCTGTTTGGTAGCTGCCTACTACCTACTACAAAATGTATCGCGATACAGACATTAGTCAGTTTAGTATTGAAGAAGATTATGTCAGTATGTATAAATGAAAGATTTTCAATGTTGTATAAAAACACAATTGGTTAATTCGGGCTCGTAGCCACGTTGGGGGAAGGAGGTTGAGGGGCAGTGCCATCTCCAAATTTTTCTGTGCCCCCGTCAGATCCTGCACATACTAACTGAGTACAGTATAGCTGTTTTATATGTACTGTACTTTACTTATTAACATTGCTCAATAGCGCATACGTGTTTACACCTAAATTTGGATGGGATAACATTTTGTAAATACCTTTCACTTCTTAATTTTTCCAAATTTTCTTTCACTCTAAAGATTATTTACCGACGTTACAGGGTAGATGTAGCAGCCGTTACGTTGTATTACGAATCATTGGTTAATACTGTACTATTCTTAGCTTACCATAGTGGCAAGTACAGTACTGTGATTGTAGTAGTTAGTTTTCAATTAAATAATTATGCAAATGGATCTCTAATATTATTTTTATTATAACTGCGAACATCTGGAGTACTGTCACCCCGTCTGGTCCCAGAGATATGCTAGGGACTGTCAGTTGGTTGAAAATGTTCAAAGGAGGGCCACCAGACTGGTGTCTGCACTTCGGCACCTCAGCTACCCTGAGAGATTGAAGCACCTGAACTTGCCTAGCTTATACTACAGACGGGCAAGGGGGGACCTAGTTGAGGTGTATAAGCATCTCAGGGGGCACTACTCAGTCGAGTGTCCTTACTTGGACCTGGCGGACGCTCGCCCCAAAAGGGGTCACAGCTCAAGATTGAAGAAGCCGCCGGTCCAGAAAACTGTGAGGGCAAACTTTTTCGGAGTGAGGGTTGTAAACTCTTGGAGCAATCTACCAGAAAGTGTTGGGACGGCACTGAGTGTGAGCTCTTTCTAGACAAGACTTGACCAACACTGGAGCGGGTTCAGGTACATTCAGGAGCCGGTGCATGCCCAGTACTTGCCAACAGTGCGTGACAGAGACGTGACCGATCGCCCGGGCGGCTAGCGAGCCGATCTTTTGGTGAATAGAATAAAAGAAAAGGAAAAGTAATCCGAGACGTGACCGATCGCCCAAGCGGCTAACGAGCCGATCCACGTGAAGAGGATAAAAGTAAAAAGTAAATGAAAATTATGATACTCTATGCTGTTGACAATAAGACACTAAAATAGATTTGTGTGTGTTAAATTAAGTAGTAAGGAATATATCATCTGTAAAAAATTAACAGTCTTTGTTCATGAACATGAGAGGAGCATAGAAATATATTCCAGACGGTTGTGCCAGCTGTTATATAATGGCAGGGTAATTTATAGATGCTGCTCGATGACCACACCCATTAGAGTTTTTTTTTGTGAGCTGGTTAACTATATTAATGACCAATTTAAGGAATAAAGTTTACTACTAAACTGACACTAACACAGTTATCCCATTAATGCCTAAATGATTAAATAAAACTGTATAAGTGTATCTAATGTACTATACTCATGAACCACTGTACCCACCAGATAAACGATGACGGGAGACAGTATAGTAGCAATGTAGCCAGTAATGTGGACGGCGGCGACTCCCTGTGCACGCACCACAGTCGGCAACAACTCTGCTGCGTACTGCAGCCCAATGTTATATGCGATGTTGACCAGCAGCCGCCCCAGCATAGCCAGCACCGCCACCGCCACCACGTTACCTGTGAACACGGTCACACTCACGATAAAGCGTAACCTTGGGTACGTTGGTGTGATTTACGGTATTTACAGTTTAGTATAGGGGAAATTTGGTAGTATTCCAGGTCGCTTCCTAAATATAGGAAGGTTCTGCAGACTAGCCATTTCGGGTAAGAGTGTGTATACAAAAACCAGGATAATGTTTCTAGGAAATTCGCACCTTGATTTCAGCGCACTGTAACTATAGAGATGGGAGTGCGTCTCTGGTTGTAATATAAGTCTCGGTGCTGTTTCAGCGTAATTGTAACTGCTAGGTGTTGGCACTATAAGTAACTAACGGTTCTTGAAGAATCCTGGACCAAATATATTGTATTTACTATTTTTACTGAGATGGATATATTTTTTGTATTCATAAAACAGCAACAATTGTCTACACCAAGTAATCAGTAACAACAACTATCCAAAGGCGGTAACCATCTACGCACATATCAACCACCTCCAACAACTAAACACAACAACCAATCATTGAAAGTAATCACTTACAGGGACCACACATAACCACTAACTTATAGTAAACACACAACAGCAACTATGCAACAGTCATCCACAACAGCCATTGAGATATGTGTGACCTGCGAAAGCAATGGTGAGGATGCTGAGGATGCCGGAGAGGATGAGGGTGCCACAGGCCAGCCAGCGCCGCCCCCACCTGTCCAGCGTCAGTACCAGGAAACTGTCCGCTGGCAACTCCGTCGCCGAGGCAATAGTAAACGTTACGAACACGTCCAGCTGAAGGTTGGACACGTTACGAGCGTGTCCATCGTACACCATGCTCAGCAGCATCCTGCAAGAGATAGAAAATACCTGTAAGAGGAGGACATGCATGTAGGGGGCACACTCGAGAGGTACTGTAGGAGACGGAAGTGTGTGTAGAACAAAACAAAATGGACAGGAAGAGTGATTTTTGTTTTGTTTTACGTGGAACATAAGAGTGTAGGAGAATAGGGGGTGGGGGGGGGGAAATATTATAGGATGCTACAACAGACATGCCTAAATAGGGTTTTATTTTACTTTCGGACACAGTGCGCCCCAAAGTTATAAACTACTGAAACATTTAAATCTCCCTATTCTGAGCATTTTGAACCCCATTTTTCCATTCGAAAATGGAAAATAGGGAAACATTATTGTTGGGGGGTCAGGGTGGAGCAAAAACGACAAATTTCCGACAAAAATGAAGGCCAGATTCGCTTAAAAAACACCAAAATACACTGGAAAAACATATTGGTTAACCCCCAGGGACTCATGTCCGAAAGTAAAATTTACAGAAAATAATGAGGAAGGAGACATATTTAAGGGAGATAAAATAGTCGTTTGTTGGAAAACGTACACAGGAAAACTAAATTGTGCAGAAATACTGTACTTGTGTGCAGGAGATACAGTAAATCGCACAAACATATTTCCGGTATCTCAATAGAATGTCCGGTCAGTCAGGGAGTTCGGTTATCACAGTATTGAGTGCCCTTAAACTTACACGACGACTAGATTAGCTGTAAAGATACGTGGACGATTCGATATCCTAATACAGGAATTAACAAGTAGTTTTGGATCTCCGATTGTAACCCTTCGATGATACACGGCGCTGGAAAGGAATAACTTAAACCTTCTAATAGACTCGGTAACCAAGTTAGAAATCTGCATCAAAAGAAATTAACTGAATATTAATGTTCTAATATAATTTTCTCGTGTTTAAAGTTATGAAGTTCTGAATTTGGCATCAGGTTGCTGCAGTGACTTTTACTTTTACTTTTATCCTCTTCACCACTGATCGACTCGTGAGGAATTATGAAGTTTAAAGGAATAATTAGATACTTTTGTTCCGGCAAGTGAACGGGAGGAGGGAAACATTGGGAGAGGGGGCCTTGTGGAGGGGGACTAGGTGGAGAGATGCCTGATTGGAGGAGAACTTACCAGACCACACAGATAGCGAAAGTGATGCGGCGGAGTCTCGGGGTTCTGAAGAGGTCGAGTAGTGAGGCAGAAGACTGCTCCACCATGGGAGTCTCCTCCAGCTCCAACTGGGAGCTTTTCTGTGGAAGGGAAGGAGAAGGGGCATGTGAGCAGCAACACGAGGAACATTATCATAAATGTGGCGAGTAAACAGCTACTGTATCTGAATCTTTAATCAACTGTTGCCTTTATGTTTTATATAAGACATGTTGAATAATACTTTTCTTTACAGAGTGAAATCAAAGTAAAGATCTAACATATAATTGTTCATAATCGTTAACAAATTATTTCATACATAATTTTGTTTAGCAGTACTATTCACCAATAATTATGTGTAAATTAGAAAGGAAATAAACACATTGCTATTACTTTTATCTTTTTCACCACTAATCGGCCCGTCAGCCGCGGGCGGTCGACCACTCCTCTGTCACGTACTGTTGGCAAGCACTGGGCATGCACTGGCTCCTGAATGTATCTGAACCTGCTCCAGTGTTGGTCAAGTCAAGTTTTGAAAGAGCTCACACGCGGTGCCGTCACTACACTCTCTGGCAGGTTTTCCAAGAGTTCACAATTCTTACTACGAAAAAGTTACCCTGACAGTTTTCTGGACTTGTGGCTTTTTTAACCTTAAGCTGTGACCCCTTGTGGGGCGAGCGTCCGCCAGCTCCAGGTATGGACACTTGACTGAGTAGTGCCCTCTGAGATGTTTATATTCCTCATTTAGGTTACCCCTTGCCCGTCTGTAGTATAAGCTAAAAACACAAGAATGGAGGAAACTACAGAGGGCCTATTGACCCATAAGGAAGCCCCGTTTACTTTTACTTTTATCCTCTTCACCACTGATCGGCTCGTTAGCCGCTTGGGCGATTGGTCACGTCTCTGTCGCGCACTGTTGGCAAGTACTAGTCATGTATTGGCTCTTTGTTTCGCACTGTTGGCAAGTACTGGGCATGCACCGGCTCCTAAATGTACCTGAACCTGCTCCAGTGTTGGTCAAGTCTGGTCTTGAAAGAACTCACACTCGGTGCCGTCACAACACTTTCTGGCAGATTGCTCCAAGATTTCTCAACTCTCACTCCGAAAAAGTTTGCCCTCACAGTTTTCTGGATTTGCGACTTCTTCAATCTTGAGCTGTGACTCCTTGTGGGGCGAGCGTCCGCCAGCTCCAAGCACTACTCGACTGAGTAGTGCCCCTTGAGACGCTTATACACCTCAATTAGGTCGCCCCTTGCCCGTCTGTAGTATAAGCTACACCCACCCCTATCGCTCATATATCCGTCTAACTTATATTTGAAGCTACCTAGCGTGTTCGAGTTAAAGATAAAGTTCGGTAACTTGTTCCAATCATCCACTATTTTATTTCCAAACCAGTGTTTACCTATCTCGCGCCTAAATCTAAACGTATCTAATTTAAAATCATTGCTACGAGTTCTCTCATCATGGTTGGATAGTTTGAATACCTTTGTTATACTGTATCACCTTTGTTTAACCCTGCCTTCCATTTATACACCTCGATCATCTCGCTAGGCAGTTGAAGGCGCTCTAATATCTCTGGACAACTGAAGTGTCGTAGTGCTGGCACCAGTCTGGTGACACTCCTTTGGACATTTTCAACCAACCGACAGTCTCTAGCATATCTCGGGGACCATACGGGGTGACAGTACTCCAGATTGGGTTGCACCTCACTCTTCTTATCAGACCTAATAGTTTAGTTGCTTGATTCAACTTTTTCTCACAATGAGCCGAGAACTTCAGTTCACTGTCAACGTACACACCCAGATCCTTTCTACATTCGGTCTCTATTAATGCAGTTTCTTCGTCCCGTTTGGACATGTGATACGCTTCCTTACCGTTGGTACGACCCAGGTGCGTCCTCTTTCACTTCGTGACATTGAATCTTAGCAACCATTTCTTCGACCACTCTTGAAGCTCAAAGAGATCTTTCTGCAGCTCTTCACAGTCTGTTTGGTTCTTAATTCCCCTGAATAACTTGGCATCATCCGTAAACATTTGTATGGGGGAGTGTATAGCTTCTGGCATGTCATTTATGAAACAAACAAACAACAACGGATTCAGTACACTGCCCTGTGGTACCCCGCTTTTCACGGGTATACATGATAATTTTTTACCATTAATCACCACACACTGTTTGCGATCATGCAGAAAGTCTCCTATCCACGCTATAGAACACTTCCCCGAATCCCGTACCCTTCCAGTTTAATTCTCAGCCTTTCATGGGGTACATTAACAAGCTTGAACAGTGTCCGCACCTCTCTCGTGGCTGTAATGTATATAGTTCTGTAGGATTATAAGAAGACACGGAGGTAAATACAATATATACAGTATATATAAGGCATGAATAAGGTAGGCGCGCGCGTCTCACCTGGAGGTCATGCAGCACCTGGTCAGGGATGGTGCGTCCGTTCACCTTGGCGATCTTCTTAAGGATCTCTATCGTCTCCTCTACACGGCCTGCCGAAAGTACGATATTGTCACTTGAATTACTGGATGACATCACCATGTAAAACAAAAGTAATTAGGAAACTGACAACTCTGAGAGAAGGCCAACTAATAGATAATTTCGTTTTGAATACGTAAGTAATGTGTTAAATTCTTTGTATACAAGATGTGACGTGGTAGTTCATTGATCCTGACTACTGTTTGTGTAGTTTTCATTCTAATTATTTGTACATGTATGAGTATCTCTGTTCCTGTGCAGCTGTTTTTGTATTGCAGTATTACCATGTTAATTCATCAATTAACATTTAAACACAAGTGTTGTCATACAGAGTAAGACCGCTCGGAGATAAACTAACAAACAGAAATGCAACACACACACACATACTCGTACTCTATAGAGCAGTGATTCTCAAACTGGGGTCCGCGAAAAGTTTTTGAGAAATAGTGCGTTTAATGTTTGTGAGAGATTTGGCGACTCCAATTCGCAGGATATTTTGGATTTGGGTTAAAATAAACAAATGCTTTGGACTATGATTTATTCTTTGATTATTGACAATATTTGTATGCGTCATGGTATATAAGGGGTTCTTGGTTGAAAAAAGTTTGAGAACCCCTGATCTAGAGGACATACTGTAATAGTACTGGATATAGTGAATATAATAAAAGAAAAGACGAAATTTGAAATTTTACTTCCGAGATTTTGTGTGTGTGTGTGTGTGTGTGTGTGTGTGTGTGTGTGTGCGCGCGCATTTAGTGTGTAAGGCAAACCCCGTTATTCATAGCCTCGGTATTCGTAACCCCGTTTATCCGCAATCAATTTATTGTTACCCATTTCCACTATTCGCAATGGTTGCCCCGTTATTGTTCCCAAATTCTTACTAGCAAAAATTTTGAGCCACTAACCTCAACAAGTGAACCACAGCCTTCAACCAGTGAACCACAGCCTTCAACACGTGAACCACAGCCTTCAACAAGTGAACCACAGCCTTCAACCAGTGAACCACCTTCAACCAGTGAACCACAGCCTTCAACCAGTGAACCACAGCCTTCAACCAGTGAACCACAGCCTTCAACAAGTGAACCACAGCCTTCAACAAGTGAACCACAGCCTTCAACAAGTGAACTGAACCAACAAGTGAACCACAGCCTTCAACAAGTGAACCACAGCCTTCAACAAGTGAACCACAGCCTTCAACAAGTGAACCACAGCCTTCAACAAGTGAACCACAGCCTTCAACAAGTGAACCACCTTCAACAAGTGAACCACAGCCTTCAACAAGTGAACCACAGCCTTCAACAAGTGAACCACAGCCTTCAACAAGTGAGCCACAGCCTTCAACAAGTGAACCACAGCCTTCAACAAGTGAACCACAGCCTTCAACAAGTGAACCACAGCCTTCAACAAGTGAACCACAGCCTTCAACAAGTGAACCACAGCCTTCAACAAGTGAACCACAGCCTTCAACAAGTGAACCATAGCCTTCAACAAGTGAACCACAGCCTTCAACAAGTGAACCACAGCCTTCAACAAGTGAACCACAGCCTGAACCACAGCCTCAACAAGTGAACCACAGCCTTCAACAAGTGAACCACAGCCTTCAACAAGTGAACCACAGCCTTCAACAAGTGAACCACAGCCTTCAACAAGTGAACCACAGCCTTCAACAAGTGAACCACAGCCTTCAACAAGTGAACCACATCTTCAACAAGTGAACCACAGCCTCAACAAGTGAACCACAGCCTTCAACAAGTGAACTACAGCCTTCACCAAGTGAACTACAGCCTTCAACAAGTGAACCACAGCCTTCAACAAGTGAACCACAGCCTTCAACAAGTGAACTACAGCCTTCAACAAGTGAACCACAGCCTTCAACAAGTGAACCACAGCCTTCAACAAGTGAACCACAGCCATCAACAGGTGAACCACAGCCTTCAACAGGTGAACCACAGCTCAACAAGTGAACCACAGCCTTCAACCAGTGAACCACAGCCTTCAACCAGTGAACCACAGCCTTCAACAGGTGAACCACAGCCTTCAGCCAGTGAACCACAGCCTTCAACCAGTGAACCACAGCCTTCAACCAGTGAACCACAGCCTTCAACAGGTGAACCACAGCCTTCAACAGGTGAACCACAGCCTTCAACAAGTGAACCACAGCCTTCAACCAGTGAACCACAGCCTTCAACCAGTGAACCACAGCCTTCAACAAGTGAACCACAGCCTTCAACAAGTGATCCACAGCCTTCAACAAGTGAACTACACAGCTTCAACAAGTGAACCACAGCCTTCAACAAGTGAACCACAACCTTCAACAAGGAACCACAGCCTTCAACCAGTGCGAACCACAGCCTTCAACAAGTGAACCACAGCCTTCAACAAGTGAAACTTACAGCCTTCAACCAGTGAACCATTAGCCTTCAACAAGTGAACCACATTAGCCTTCAACCAGTGAACCACAGCCTTCAACAAGTGAACCATAGCCTTCAACAAGGAACCACAGCTCTCAACAAGTGAACCAGCCTTCAAATCCAGTGAACCACAGCCTTCAACCAGTGAACCACAGAAAGCTCAACCAGTGAACCACAGTTTCTCAACCAGTGAACCACAGCCTTCAACCAGTGAACCACAGCTTCAACAAGGAACCACAGCTCAACAAGTGAACCACAGCCTTCAACCAGTGAACCACAGCCTTCAACAAGTGAACCACAGCCTTCAACCACAGTGAACCACAGCTTCAAATAAGTGAACCACAGCCTCAACAAGGAACCAATAACCTTCAACAAGTGAACCACAGCCTTCAACCAGTGAACCACAGCTCTCAACAAGGAACCACAGCCTTCAACAAGTGAACCAGCTCAACACAAGTGAACCACAGCCTTCAACCAGTGAACCACAGCCTTCAACCAGTGAATCACAGCCTTCAACAAGTGAACCACAGCCTTCAACAAGGAACTACAGCCCAAACCAGTGAACCACAGCCTTCAACCAGAACCAGCCAACAAGTGAACCACAGCCTTCAACAAGGCGAACCACAGCCTCTAACCAGTGAACCACAGCCCTCAACCAGTGAACCACATAGCCTTCAACCAGTGAACCAATACAGCCTTCAACCAGTGAACCACAGCCTTCAACAAGTGAACCACAGCTCTTCAACCAGTGAACTACAGCCTTCAACCAGTGAACCACAGCCTTCAACCAGTGAACCACAGCCTTCAACAAGAACCATTGTGCCTTCCAACAAGTGAACCACAGCCTTCAACCAGAACCACAGCTCAACCAGAACCACAGCCTTCAACAAGTGAACCACAGCCTTCAACAAGTGAACCACAGCCTTCAACAAGTGAACCACAGCCTCAACCAGTGAACCACAGCCCTCAACCAGTGAACCACAGCCTTCAACAAGTGAACCACAGCTCTTCAACATGAACCACAGCCTTCAACAAGTGAACCACAGCCTTCAACCAGAACCACAGCCTTCAACAAGTGAAATCAATAGCCTTCAACAAGGAATTACAGCCTTCACCAGTGAACCACAGCTCAACCAGTGAACCACAGCCTTCAACCAGGAACTAGCCAGCCTTCCAACCAGTGAACCACAGCCTTCCAACAAGGAACCACAGCCTCAACAAGTGAACCACAGCCTTCAACAAGTGAACCACAGCCTTCCAACCAGTAGAACCACAGCCTTCAACAAGTGAACTACTAAGCTCTCCAACCAGTGAACCACAGCTCTCAACAAGTGAACCACAGCCTTCAACAAGTGAACACAGCCCAACACTCAAGGAACACAGCCTTCAACCAGTGAACCATAGCCTCAACAAGTGAACCACAGCCTTCAACCAGTGAACCACAGCCTCTCAACAAAGTGAACCATAGCTCACCAAGTGATCCACAGCCTCCAACAAGTGAACCACAGCCTTCAACAAGTGAACCACAGCCTTCAACAAGTGAACCACACAACTCAACAAGTGAACCACAGCCTCACAACCAGTGAACCATAGCCTTCAACAAGTGAACCACAGCTTCAACAAGTGAACCACAGCCTTCAACCAGTGAACCACAGCCTTCAACAAGGAACCACATAGCCCAACCAGTGAACCACAGCCTTCCAACAAGTGAACCACAGCATCTCAACAAGGAACCACAGCCTTCCAACAAGTGAACCACAGCTCAACCAGTGAACCACAGCTTCAACCAGTGAACCACAGCTTCAACCAGTGAACCACAGCCTTCAACCAGTGAACCACAGCCTTCAACCAGTGAACCACAGCTCAACAAGGAACCCATAGCCTTCAACAAGTGAACCACAGCTCCTCTGGGGTCCAGTGAACCAGCCTTCAACAAGTGAACTACAAACAAACCAGTGAACCACAGCCTTCAACAAGTGAACTACAGCCTCAGTTAAGTGAACCACAACCTCAACAAGGAACCACAGCCTCAACCAGTGAACCACAGCCTTCAACAAGGAACCACAGCCTTCAACAAGGAACCACACAGCCTCTCAACAAGGAACCAAGAAGTCGCAACCAGTGAACCACAGCCTTCAACCACAGTGAATCACAGCCTTCAACAGTGAACCACAGCTCTCAACAAGTGAACCACAGCCTTCAACCAGTGAACTACAGCCTTCAACCAGTAGAACCACAGCCTCTTCAACAAGGAACCATTAGCCTTCAAATAAGAACCACAGCCTTCAACCAGTGAACCACAGCTTCAACCAGTGAACCACAGCCTTCAACCAGTGAACCACAGCCTCAACCAGTGAACCACAGCCTTCAACAAGTGAACCACAGCCTTCCAACCAGTGAACTACAGCCTTCAACCAGTGAACCACAGCTCAACCAGTGAACCATAGCCTTCAACAAGTGAACCACAGCCTTCAACAAGTGAACCACAGCCTTCAACCAGTGAACACAGCTTCAACCAGTGAACCACAGCCTTCAACAACAAGGAACCACAGCTCAACAAAGTGAACCACAGCCTTCAACAAGTGAACTACAGCTCTTCAACCAGTGAACCACAGCCTTCAACCAGTGAACCACAGCCTTCAACAAGTGAACCACAGCCTTCAACAAGTGAACTACTAGCCTTCAAATCAGTGAACCACAGCCTTCAACCAGTGAACCATACAGCCTTCAACAAGTGAACCACAGCCTTCAAATAAGTGAACCACAGCCTTCACCAGTGAACCACAGCCTTCCAACCAGTGAACCACAGCCTTCAACCAGTGAACCACACAGCCTTCAAACCAGTGAAATCACAGCCTTCAACAAGTGAACCACAGCCTTCAACAAGTGAACCACAGCCTTCAACAAGTGAACCACAGCCTCAACCAGTGAACCACAGCCAACAAGTGAACCACAGCCTTCAACCAGTGAACCACAGTTTCAACAAGGAACCACAGCCTTCAACAAGTGAACCACAGCTCAAATCCAGTGAACCACAGCCTCAACAAGTGAACCACAGCCTTCAACAAGTGAACTACAGCCTTCAACAAGTGAACTATTACAGCCTTCAACAACAAGTGAACCATTAAGCCTTCAACAACAAGGAACCACAGCCTTCTCAACAAGTGAACCACAGCCTTCAACAAGTGAACCACAGCTCAACAAGTGAACCATACAGCCTTCAACCAGTGAATCCAGCCTCAACAAGTGAACCATGGTGCCTCAACAAGGAACCACACAGCCTTCATCAAGTGAACCACAGCCTCAACAAGTGAACTATAGCCTCCAACCAGGAACCACAGCCTTCCAACCAGTGTGAAAGAGCCTTCAACAAGTGAACCACAGCCTTCAACAAGTGAACCACAGCCTTCCAACAAGTGAACCACAGCCTCTTCAACAAGTGAACCACAGCCTTCAACAACAAGTGAACCACAGCCTTCAACAAGTGAACTAATAGCCCAACCAGTGAACCACAGCCTTCAACCAGTGAACCACAGCCTTCAACAAGTGAACCACAGCCTCAACAAGTGAACCACAGCCTTCAACCAGTGAACCACAGCTCTCTCATCAAGGAACCACAGCTCTTCAACAAGTGAACCATTGTGCCTTCAACCAGGAACTACAGTCAACCAGTGAACCACAGCCTTCAACAAGTGAACCACAGCCCTCTCACCGAAGTGAACCACAGCCTCAACAAGTGAACCACAGCCTTCAACCAGTGAACCACAGCCTTTCAACCAGTGAACCACAGCTCAACCAGTGAACCACAGCCTTCAACCAAGGAACCACAGCCTCTAACCAGTGAACCAGCCTTCAACCAGTGAACCACAGCCTTCAACAAGTGAACCACAGCCTTCAACAAGTGAACCACAGCCTTCAACAAGGAACCATAGCCTTCAAATAAGTGAACCACAGCTCAACAAGTGAACTGCCACAGCCTTCAACAAGTGAACCACTGCCTTCAACAGGTGATGATGGAGAGTGAGGTGGCTGACGACCCTGGCAGTGAGGAGAGTGAGGTGGCTGACGACCCTGGTAGTGAGGAGAGTGAGGTGGCTGACGACCCTGGTAGTGAGGAGAGTGAGGTGGCTGACGACCCTGGCAGTGATGAGAGTGAGGTGGCTGACGACCCTGGCAGTGATGAGAGTGAGGTGGCTGACGACCCTGGTAGTGAGGAGAGTGAGGTGGCTGACGACCCTGGTAGTGAGGAGAGTGAGGTGGCTGACGACCCTGGCAGTGATGAGAGTGAGGTGGCTGACGACCCTGGCAGTGATGATGAGAGTGAGGTGGCTGATGACCCTGGCAGTGATGAGAGTGAGGTGGCTGACGACCCTGGCAGTGATGATGAGAGGAGGTGGTTGACGACCCTGGCTGTGATGATGAGTGAGGTGGCTGACGACCCTGGCAGTGAGGAGAGTGAGGTCGCTGACGACCCTGGCAGTGATGACGAGAGTGAGGTGGCTGACGACCCTGGCAGTGATGATGAGAGTGAGGTGGTTGACGACCCTGGCTGTGATGATGAGAGTGAGGTGGCTGACGACCCTGGCAGTGATGATGAGAGTGAGGTGGCTGACGACCCCAGCCTCCCCTCACCCCAGTAAACCTTCACCCTCTCCCCTAATGCCAACTTCAGCAAGCAAGCAACACAGCACATCAGAGGTAAATTAACAGTCTACGTTTAAAACTTACCTCACACACCTACGCACATAAACATTCTAACACTCACACTCAAACATGTAAAGTATACTCTACTTGTAAACGTATACGCCTAATAAACTCAAAGTGTTTGTTATTGGTGTTTATTTGATAGTATGCTCTTGTTTATTTATTTTGTTCCATATGTATTGAGTAAAACAAGTGTTTAAATCTGACGGCCGTGACCACCCCGGTGCCCGTATCCCCCTATTTACATTATTTCATATGGGAGAAATTGCTCAGATACTCGCAATTTCGATATTCTCAACGAGTTTCATGCCCGTAACCTTTGCGATAAGTGAGGCAGCCCTGGGTATTTCCCTTGTGTTCGATCAGTGTGTACAAAGTATCTGCACATGATGATTACTAAGCAGAAGTCACTCACTTTGGGAGAGGAGCCAGCGGGCACTCTCAGGCAGGACCCAGAAGGCGAAGCAGCCGAAAATCATAGGTGTGCAGGAGAGTGCGGTGAAGAGGCGCCAGTTCCCCGCCGCTACCGCCAGCCAGGGCAGCGCCACCGTGCCCGCCGTGAAGAACAACGCGATGGACATGTTGGCTATCAGGGTCCTCCGCCTGGGTCCCACGTACTCCAGCACTGGCGATTACAAGAGTGTATGTGTGTGAGGTACAGTAGGGGCCACAATGTGCAGGAGGGCCATAAGGGTGCATGGGTGAGGTACACTACAGGAGGGCTTCAAGGTACATGAGAGAAGAGTCAGAAGGTGGTATACTCACCTAAGACGTACATCATGACGAAGATATTGTCGAAGGCAAACCCGGCGAGAAACCTGTAGAGAAGGAAGTCCCCCAGAGAGGTGGACAGGGCCGTCAGCAGGGAGGTGGCCGCCCCAACAAAGTTAGTCGCCACCAACACCGGTACACGCCCGTACCTGCCACCAGGGATACAAGTTTCTCTCTATCAATATATTTTGATGAAGTAACTGTTGATACAAAATAAAATAAACAGATAATTTTCATTTTCAGCATAATGGTTCCTTGAAATCTATAAACTGGTGTACTTCAGTTTTCAGCATTACCTCTTGAATACAGTAAGTTTGACTACAATAACCAGGCAGTACATTAGTTTATTTCCCCTGCATGATAGCTTGACCCCTTGATTACGATAATGTATCTCTATTAATGGAGTTTCATTTTTTCTAGTTAAATAATAACGAAATCATCATCATCAAAGTGTTCTTCGTCATCATCAAAGGGCTAATCATGGTCTTAAAGGGTTAAACCATCATTGTCAAGGATTAAACCATGATCTCTAAAGGGTTAAATAAATAAAAACGACCAACATACCACCAGTACCAGTCACGATTGAGACTCACCTGTCAGCCGCCCAGCCACTAAGAAGACCACCAAATATGGCACCCAGGAAGAACACAGACTGTGCCAGGGTGCCATACCACTCCCGGTCACACACCCACGAATACTGTCAACACAACCAATCAAATCAAATACGTAAACATAATTAGCTGGCCAGTTGTCAATGACATAAACGACATTTTAATTATAACTGCGAACCCATAAACTTTTATTATTCATTAAGTTTATTTATAAATGTTATATGCCGTCACACATCATAGCCATTTAGGATCACCTCGGCTTATTTCAGGAGTGACCATCCTAACCTAACCCCCACCAGGTAGCGTCGTTACGGAGATTAATCTTCAGATGAAATAAGCTGGGGCGAAGCTTCAGGCAGTCCTAGAACCCGTAGCTTTAAATACAAATTTACAGAACTAAGAATGCATCTTCGTAATGAATGACGTCATTACCTTGAATAACTGCCGTGACATATTACAATCACAGTATAATAAGACAGAAAAGATTACCGCATTGTTATTCTTCCATACAATAAGCTTATAAATAACATGGCATAAGATGTGTCCTTGAGAGTCGTCTTACCTCCGAGACAATAGTGTGAAAGTATCTTATGGAAGACATATCGTACTCCCACGTCTGGCAGTCCCGCACTGGCCAGGAGGCGTTGGCTGACGTCACGCCCTCCCGCAGCAGTTTACTGTAGTCTACATCGTACATCTGACAGCTATTCCACTTCTCCTTGCCCTGGGAGTCGAAGGTGACAGGAATGCTGAGCTGTCGTCTGGCAAGAGAAATTGAAGTTTATTCAGTAAGAACGTCGTACAAGCCCATACTGGCCAAGGGTATAGAATCCTTGAACTGGCAAAAGTTTGGATTGGAGTAAGTTCTCTGTTGCTGCAAAAAAAGTAGCAACGGGAGAAATGAATGACCTCTGCGATTTTACCCAGACGATGCATGTTTCAAGTTCAATTTATCATTTCACCATTTATCAGCTTACTAGCCGTTCGGGCGGTTGGATTTTTATTTATTACTTTGTTATAAACTTTATTGTCCAGTGTTAGTACAAGAGGAAAACAGAATACAGTACCCGGGGGAAACTTGTTATGTTTGATGGTGATAATAACCATTTAAGAGTACTTTCCCAAAGAGCTTTGAAGATTAAACAAAAATGTTTATTAGTAAGTAAAGCTTGAGTAGAACTGTTCAATTAATGTTTTTTTTTCTAAAGCATATTTATTCTTAGATTGTTACCTGCCCTGGTTACTGAGGAATAGATTAAATAGAATAAAATATTATTATAAATCTACTCAGGGTGAGTCAAAAGTCTCCATACGTAGGCAATATGGTTACTTTATTATGTAATCACTTGTAAGTCGCAAAATATGCCCTTTGTGGGCACCATTACACTGAACTCTTTCAAGAACAGACTTGACCAACACTGGAGCAGGTTCAGGTACATTTAGGAGCCGGTGCATGCCCAGTACTTGCCAACAGTGCGTGACAGAGACGTGACCGATCGCCCGGGCGGCTAGCGAGCCGATCAGTGGTGAAGAGGATAACAGTAAAAGAATGCACATACGGGGGCGCTGGTGGGAGAGCGGTACAGCTCTTGCCTCGAAAGCGAGATGTCACGGGTTCGATTCCCGGGCCGGTGGAAAGTTGTTCGGACACACTTGTCAGCCCCTTGGTTCAGGGAAAGTTGTTGGAGCTTCCAATAACTTGCTGACAAAAACCTATGACCCTTCAGGCTTCTACGCCCTTAACTCATGAGACATAAAGGCAAGCATGAACTTGGCATGTTTCCCAGTTGGGCACTGTAGGCGCTTCTGCGCTTCACCTTGCACAGGATGTAAGGGGGTGCCCAATACAAAAAAAAAAGCGCATACGGATGCGTTCCTCCCACTCATGGCGAACGCGCGTTAACAAGTCTGGTGTTATGCGCGCACACGCATCACGAATGCGTTCTTTTAGGTGGGCCGTTTTTTTTGTATCTTCACCCGGTACACCATGGACTTCAAGTGCCCCACACAAGTAAAAAGCACGATGGGGCGCCACCCTATTCCGCCGCGTTGTAGAAATTTCCGACTCTTGTTTATCGAACACGCTGATTGGTTCAAATCCGGTACGTCGTCTGTTAATCGGTAAATTGATGACGTAGTCGGTAAGCCATGACGTCACTGCTCCGACTGTCGGTAAATTACCGACTTTAGGAAATATGCTTTTTCATGGCTAAAATACCATATAGAATACACAGAAATAAATTGTAGATGTATTTAATTACCTTACCTACATTTTACTAGCGATATTTTAACAGAATTATATTCTGCCGAGTCACATACGAAGCGATATCGATACCATGTTTACAATGTGTAAAATAAGGTCATGTATATATTTCTTGTGCTTAGTTATGCTTCTAAATGTTTATATATTTGTATTTTTTTGTGTATTGTCAAAATAAAATTGTTGGAATGTTTTGGTTATTTTTGTATTCAGTATTATCGAAAAGTAATACAAATTACAATTGATAAAATACAAATCTAATGTGATCTCATATAACACTCTGAATGGTGCATAATGCAGTGTTTATTATTCAGTAATTTATAAAACTAATGACAGGAACAATGAAATTCACTGAGTATGAGGACTACTCTAATACTGTATAACTACTGTGTGGGGTATGAGATGTTTGGTTCACACTCAGGATGGGTGGAGAAAGGAAACTCACAATGTGCTCTCTATATACATGTTGTATTGGATGTACAATGCAGCTTGGTGCTGGGAAGGCAGCATGGTTACAAGCGTGATGTAGAGAGAGCTGGTTGGTGAGGACGCTCAGAGAAGGACAGCTTGTGGGTCGCCATGCTCGCCAGCGGGAGAGAGGACCGCCAGGCAGGCGGAGGAGCGAGGACCGCCAGGCAGGCGGAGGAGGTGTTGCTGGCTGGTTGGTGTAGGTAGAAGGAGAGGCAGATCACCACGAGGTCAGGTCTTAAATAGCGGGGGTAGGCGTGGCTTAGCAGTTGACCCCCGCTCCGTGGTGTATGGCGGCGCTGGTTGACCTAGACCACGAGGCATACACTGGGGAATTGGTGGGGTCGGCTAGGCAGCGACAAACAGCGTTTGTAGGGGAGAATTCCACTACAATACTCCCCCTTCCCTCCAGGCTGTGTAGGAGACTTGTTGTCTGCAGGGTTGCATAGCACATGTGAGGCAGAACGGGCGGTGCGTGCCTCATGTGAGACAACGGCGATGGCGTGGATGAGCCGGTCGCTGGGGACAACTGTCTAGATACACAATATCTGTGGGAGTAGAGAGGGAGAATAAGGGTGTGTGGAGGCGATGAATGTTGTGCTTCCCTCACGGCAGGTACAGAGTCGTCAGATGCGCCTGCTGGGGTGTGTGGGCCTGGGTCAGGAGCAGGGGCTGCGTCAGCAGAAGCGGATGAGGGCTCGTGACAGCAGCTGGGTCCACGACAGCAGCAGGGTGCAGGACATTAGCAGGGAGTACCTGCGGTGTAGAGACAGTAGCTGTAGAGCCGATGAGAGCTGCTTCTGGGTGGATAAGCCAGTCTTCCATGTTGCTTGAAGACTGGGAGCGTGATCAGTTTCTCCTCCATCCTGTGTGAGTGCGAATCTCCGGGAGTCACCATTTGTGGGGTATGAGATTGTTTGGTTCACACTCAGGATGGAATGGAGAAAGGAAACTCACAATGTGCTCTCTATATACATGTTGTATTGGATGTACAATGCAGCTTGGTGCTGGGAAGGCAGCATGGTTACAAGCGTGATGTAGAGAGAGCTGGTTGGTGAGGACGCTCAGAGAAGGACAGCTTGTGGGTCGCCATGCTCGCCAGCGGGAGAGAGGACCGCCAGGCAGGCGGAGGAGGAGCGAGGCCGCCAGGCAGCGGCGGAGGAGGTGTTGCTGGCTGGTTGGTGTAGGTAGAAGGAGAGGCAGATCACCACGAGGTCAGGTCTTAAATAGCGGGGGTAGGCGTGGCTTAGCAGTTGACCCCCGCTCCGTGGTGTATGGCGGCGCTGGTTGACCTAGACCACGAGGCATACACTGGGGAATTGGTGGGGTCGGCTAGGCAGCGACAAACAGCGTTTGTAGGGGAGAATTCCACTACAACTGTATCTGGGATCTTCGTTACCCCTCACCACACATTCTATTATAGAAAATAGTAATATTACGTCATGTTCTCGCAACCAATCACAACGCGAGCAGTTGAACCAATTAGCGTGTTCGGTAAACAAGAGTCGGAATTTCCGCGTGCGCTAATGGCTGGATCAGCAGTTTCCGGCTCACTGGATTGGCCGCCGTGGTCCCGTGGAGTGGCCCTCAGAGGTCCCCAGACTTCACCCCTTTGATGGTCACTTGAAGGACATGATTGCATAATAAAGTGATCATATTGCCTATGTATGGGGACTTTTGACTCACCCTGTAGTATAATCAGATTATGATGGCAAAAGTAACAATCACTTAGGTTATTTAAGTCCCTGAAATAGCTACTTTGATTCTGTAGAGACTTACACAGCCACCAAGGCTCATTCTTACGTCTGATGTTGCTGCGTAGATTCATCGTGCAAATCGGAGACAATTAGTAAGCAAAATCTGAAGCCAAGAAAACAAACCATTACCGGTAAGCAGTGTCTATAGATGCGTCAAGTCTACAAACAAATCCAACGAATTTAATTAAACCCGAAACAAGACTGATCTGATAAACAAGTACCTTCTATATAAACAATAATAACCCAAACAACTAAACAGGCTAAACCAATTATATTCAGTCGTCAGTCCTAAACAAGCTAAAAGTTTACAACAATCTAGACTCTAGAGGAAGTTCACAACAAACTCACAAATTTGTATTATTTTACCTAAGGACATAGCGCTCCCGAAAGTTATAATGAACTGAAACATTTAGATCTCCCTATTCTGAACATTTTGAACCCCCATATATACCAGACGGAAATGGATAATAGCGACACAGTTGAATTTAATTGATTTTACTCAGTTTTCAGTCTTGGGCTGCGTGAGATGTTATCGGCGCATCACGCATGCGCAATATTGACTGACGTCCTCCAGTCGTGACCAATGATGTATCGATATCATCACGCGATTTTTTTTTCGACCAATCACATTTGATTTTTTTCAAAGGAAGCATACTGAGTACGATTTTAATTTCATTGACCAGTCTCACAATGGCCGTGGTGGGGCTTAGTTGACATTTGTGCTCTTACGATTATTTTAAAGTTTATTGCTGAGTTTTACGAGAAAGACGATCATTCTATCCAATTCTTACGTATCCCTGGTCCTTCCACTTCTAACTAAGGTATTGTACTTTCAGACATGGCGCGTCCCAAAGTTTTAAACTACTGAAACATTTTTTTTATTTTTTACATTTAGGTTAGTTTAAGCTAGGCCTACCGGGGGCATAACCCCCGGCTAGGGGTTAGGTTAGATGACTCGTTTTCGTTCTCTCCCCCACCCAAAAACCCCGCTTTCCCAGGCTCTCCCCCATTATCGTTGGGAGGGGGACAAAAACGAGCTATTTCCGTCAAAAATGAAGGTCAAATTCGTTTAAAACACTAAAATACAATGGGAAAACCTATTGGTCAACCCCAAGGGACTCATGTCCTAAAGTAAAAATTTACCCACAAATTAGTAAGGATAAAATTATATATATATATATATATAGTCAGGTCCCTACTGTTGACCATTGTATGCCTCCACTGTCTGTAAAAACAGTATTCCTGCATTGTCTATATATACACGCTGATCGCTTATTCGCTGTGAATATGCATGATAATTTTGCTGAAGAAACAGTATATATGTCTATCCATCTATCATCATTTGACGTGATCAATACTGAAGAGAGACGACGTATATAGTGGGCTGGAGCTACTATAGGAGATAATTATGAACTATCTATAGTTTGTTCATCAGGAAAATGTTGCACTCAGCCCCGCCCAGCAAAAGCCATGTGGTTATGTGATTGGATAATGTGGCCGTATCCTCTGTGGAAGCCAAATTTAGCCAATCTACAGCACTTCAAAACTATTTGTTTTCTAACTGGACAATACGAGAGAAGGGGGGGGGGGGACTATTTGACGTTTTTATAATGAACAGACTAGATACTGCTTACCCTGGGAGAGAGTGTATGTACTGTATGTGTGCGTGGTAAGATACAGGCCACGCTAGCACCGGGAAATACCTTAAACTCCACCTGTGACAACACCTGTTTGGGTAAAAGAAATTATAAACACGTCAACCACAACGTTTATCGTAGCAATTTACATAATAATAATAATAATAATAATAATAATAATAATAATAATAATAATAATAATAATAATAATAATAATAATAACAAATTAATAAATATAAGGCTAAAAACTCTTCTACTTGAGAGATTAGAACGCCAAAACTGCCTAGCTTATACTATAGACGGGCAAGCCCATTGAAGTTTATAAACAATTCAGAGGGTACTGCTCGGTCGAGTGTCCATGAGCTGACGGACGCCCGCCCCACAAAGGGTCAGAACTCAAGATTGAAGGAGTCACTAAGTCCAGAAAAATTGTGAGGGCAAACCTCGGAATGTTAATTGTAAATTTTTGGAACAATCTACCAGAGGGTGTTGTGACGGCACCGAGTGTGAGCTCTTTCAAAAGACTTGACCAACACTGGCGCAGGTACAGTGCGTAACAGAGGCCAAGTTATTTCGGGAATTAAGAACCAAGCAAACTGTGAAGAGCTGCAGAAGGATCTCTGTGAGCTTCAAGAATGATCGAAGAAATGGCTGCTAAGATTCAATGTCACGAAGTGTAAGAGGCTGCACCTGGGACGTACCAGCGGTAAGGAGGCAAATCATGTGTCCCAACGGGACGAAGAAACTGCATTGAGACTGAATGTGAAAAGGACATAGGTGTGTATGTTGACAATGAACTGAAGTTTTCGGACCATTGTGAGAAAAAGGTAAATCGAGCAACTAAATTATCATGTCTTATAAGAAGGTCGTTCAGATAATCTTGACGATCTTCAAGAGCGAGGTGCTTCCCTGTCTGGAGTACTGTCACCCCGTCTGGTCCCCGAAATATGCTAGGTAATGTCAGTTGATTGAAAATGTTCAAAGGAGGGCCACCAGTCTGGTGCCTGCACTTCGGCACCTCACCTACCCCGAGAGATAGAGCGCCTGCACTTGCCTAGCTTATACTACAGACGGGTAAGGGGGGACCTAGTTGAGGTGTATAAACATCTCAAAGGGCACTACTTATTGGAGTGTCCTAACGAGCTGGCGGACGCTCGCCCCACAAGGGGTCACAGCTCAAGGTTGAAGAAGCAGCAAGTCCAGAAAACTATGAGGGCTAACTTTTTCGGAGTTAGAGTTATGAACTCTTGGAACAATCTGCCAGAGAGTGATGTGACGGCACCGAGTGTGAGCTCTTTCAAGACCAGACTTGGCAAGCACTGGAACAGGTTCAGATACATTCAGGAACCAGTGCATGCCCAGTACTTGCCAACAGTACGTAACAGAGACGTGACCTATCGCCCAAGCGGCTTACGAGTCGATCAGTGGTGAAGAAGAATAAATGTAAAAGAGACGTGAGCAACCGCCAAAGCGGCTAATGAGCCGATCAGTGGGGAAGAAGATAAAAGTATAAGTTATGTGTTGTAATAATCTTAGCCCGACAGACGCTTGATCGTAAAGCATTAATTACAAACAGTATATTCCTTTGTACGGTGTGGTGTCGAGAGTAAATGCAACTGAGGGTGCTATGAGAAGTAAACTTACTTTCTGATTATCAGTTAAACTTCTTACGAATTATATATGATTACGGAGATAAAGGATATTTTCAACACATGTGATGTGAACGGCATTGAAGCAAGATGGAAGACATGCACTGGTGACGTAAAATAACGGCAAAATCATATACAAAAAATTGAGGTATAAGTACAAATACTCACTAGATACCGACAGATGCCGAGAGAACTTATTAACAAGCGCTGTAGACTGACAAGTTGAAAACACTTCTCATTAACACGCGCTGTACAGGTAAACTGACATGCTTAGAGAACTTGACATTCACAAGACTATGGACCGACTGATATAGAGAGCTTCACACAAACAAATAACAGTATAAACATACACAGAGATTGAAAAAACGAGGAAGCAAAAACTTTCCTCAACACAAGTCGGATCACCATGTGTATGTATGATGTTAGGTATTACCATTTCGTCCTTACGTCAATCCTTTTCCTTTTGTTCCCTTCAACTCTTACTTTGCCTTCAATTTAGAGTTATATAGGACCTTTTCCTCTTATATTCCCTGACCCAGGCACCCCCTCACCCTGTGAATGAGATGTGTCCTGTCAATCTTACCGAAGTTCAAGGGTTATGTTAGCCTCCTGGAGTTGAGGAACGGCGCACCAGTGTTCGGGCGGGATGGTGATAAAGAACTGCACGAAGTAGATGAACACCACGTTGAGGCAGAAGGGTGCCAGGCCTAGGAACAGCAGCCACTGGTACTTGCCGAACTCTCCAACATGAGGTAAGACGTCGTCGAAGTCCAGACATTCCTCTTGCATCCTCACCGATACACGTGGCGAGACGGCCTCACCCACACCACAAAACACGCCTCTAACTTAATAAGATAATATGCACCTTGAAATTTCAATCACGTCACATGAGATATCTTCATAAATTATTGTACCGATAACAACTGGGGGATAGGCGCGTCCTTGGGTGAGGCATGAACCGTAGCCGTGAGGCGTTACAGTAGGTGTGTGAGTACCAGGGAGCCGGAGCTCTCTCTCGGAAACTTTCTGTGTTCTTCAGGGATTCCCTAATTTTAACATCCGCAACTTATTTAGATTTTTTTTCTTTTTACGGATGCAGTTCGCTCTCCTTAGTACATTATAAATATTTAGTGGGAAAACGGAAGCGTAGACCCAACAATATAAAATTAATTTAAAAATTCAAGTTCATTTTTATTTCCATTTACTTCCTGTGTGTCGATTTACTATTACTCAACATGTGAACAAACATACGATGCAAAATAATTATGACTTTATGTTCTGCTGGAGGTGGTGGTGGCGGATGTACTAGTGTACTTGTTGACACTGGTACTGTGTCTAGTAGTACTTGTTGACACTGGTGCTGTCTAGTAGTACTTGTTGACACTGGTACTGTGTCTAGTAGTACTTGTTGATACTGGTGCTGTCTAGTAGTACTTGTTGACACTGGTACTGTGTCTAGTAGTACTTGTTGATACTGGTGCTGTCTAGTAGTACTTGTTGACACTGGTACTGTGTCTAGTAGTACTTGTTGATACTGGTGCTGTCTAGTAGTACTTGTTGACACTGGTACTGTGTCTAGTAGTACTTGTTGATACTGGTGCTGTCTAGTAGTACTTGTTGACACTGGTACTGTGTCTAGTAGTACTTGTTGACACTGGTGCTGTCTAGTAGTACTTGTTGACACTGGTACTGTGTCTAGTAGTACTTGTTGACACTGGTGCTGTCTAGTAGTACTTGTTGACACTGGTACTGTGTCTAGTAGTACTTGTTGACACTGGTGTTCATAAGAGCTGGTGACGTGCTGCAGCTTGCGTTCACTAATTAGGACAGGAAACAAAAGACCATTCTTATTGTGAAATTCAGGACTTACCTTTGCGACAAGAATATGAACACGTCATTAACTCCTTGTGTACGGGAGTCTCTGTGCTGAATAAATTCGTCTGACGTCAGCCGAATAAGGTATTGAAAGTGGCGTCCTTGTAATGAGAGAAGGAAACAGTCGGATACCAACAAACATTACGCTTATAACAATTGAAAAAAAAAATTGAAAACCAACAAAACACAATACAATATTATTATTATTAGTAGTAATAGTAGTAGATGTAGGTAAGAAAGGGCGGCGAAGGTGTAGCTATTGGGAGAGGCTGGAGGCCGCGTTTAAAAAAAAAGTAGTCGTAGTTGTAGTATCATAAGTATTATTATCATTAACATTGTCATTGTTATTACTATCATTTATATAATTGTTAGCACTATTTTTATTGCCGAATTATTTCCATCATAAAGGTGATTATTTTGGTTTTAACACGTGTTGCTCACTGTGACATCGATCACTTCTTTAAAATGCTTTATATTAAATAAATTCTTCTAGAAACACTTTAGGTAATACAACAGACAAACTTGAGTACAGACAAGTAAAAATACATAAATCATACATATACAGTAGGTATATGTACAGTGAGAGAATTAAGTGTCTTCCCTGGGTTTTGAGGACTACATCGCAAACGGTTGAACCATTCGACACACGCATTTGCTGAATCCATAAACAGTTGGTAGGCCTGTGGAACCTTGGTAAGGGTCCCCAGTGATACCATTCACTGTGTTGGGTAGTCAGGTTTCATAATACTTCTGCCAAAGCTGGGGAGATACTTCATTCTCTCACTGTACAGTCCAAGGAAAATAAACTGTCCAGGCTAAAGGTCCATAAGAGTCCCGGCCCTGACATGGTGCATCCTAGAGTGCTAAGAGAGTTGTGCAACGAGCTTGCCGAGCCCCTGAAGATCCTGTTTTGTAAATGCCTGGATGAACAAAAGGTCCCCAGTGAATGGAAAGTGGCTTATGTGAGTCCTATCTTTAAGAAGGGCGATAGTCACTCCACGAACAACTATAGACCGGTGAGCCTGACCAGCATAATATGTAAAGTACTTGAGAGTATTATCAGAGATGCCGCAATGGAACATCTAATATGAAACAACCTTGTAAAAGATTGCCAACACGGTTTTATGCCGGGGCGCTCCTGCTTAACACAATTGCTCAAGGTATTGGATATTTGGACCCATATTCTGGAACGGGGTGGTAATATCGACAATATTTACCTAGATTTTGCCAAGGCTTTCGACAGTGTACCCCACGAAAGGCTGAAAATCAAACTGGAAGGGTACGGAATTCGGGGAAATGTCCTAGCGTGGATAGAAGACTTTCTACATGACCTCAAGCAGTGTGTGGTGATTAATGGCACGAAATCGTCATCTGTACCTGTCACAAGTGGGGTACCACAGGGCAGTGTATTGGGCCCGCTGTTGTTTGTTTCATAAATGACATGCCTGACGTTGTACACTCCTCCATACAAATGCTTTGCCGATGACGCCAAGTTATTTCGGGAAATTAAGAACCAAGCGGACTGTGAAGAGCTGCAGAAGGACCTCTGTGGGCTCCAGGAATGGTCGAAGAAATGGCTGCTGAGATTCAATGTCACGAAGTGTAAGAGGATGCACCTGGGGCGTACCAACGGTAAGGAGGAGTATCATATGTCCCAACGGGAGAAACTGCACTAGTTGAGACTGATTGATTGATACGTTTATTGAATACTAGTTGAGACTGTGTGTGAGAAGGACCTAGGTGTGTATGTTGACAATGAGCTGAAGTTCTCGGGCCATTGCGAGAAGAAGGTAAATCAGGCAAATAAATTATTGGGTCTTATAAGAAGGTCGTTCAGATATCTAGACGGTCCGTCCCTCGTAACGATCTTCAGGAGTGAAGTGCTTCCCCATCTGGAGTACTGTCACCCCATCTGGTCTCCGAGATATGCTAGGGACTGTCAGTTGGTTGAAAATGTTCAAAGGAGGGCCACCAGACGTGCCTGCACTTCGGCACCTCAGCTACCCTGAGAGATTGGAGCGCCTGAACTTGCTTAGCTTATACTACAGACGGGCAAGGGGGGACCTAGTTGAGGTGTGTAAGCATTTCAGGGGGCACTACTCAGTTGAGTGTCCTTACTTGGAGCTGGCGGACGCTCGCCCCACAAGGGGTCACAGCTCAAGATTGAAGAAGCCGCAAGTCCAGAAAACCGTGAGGGCAAACTTTTTCGGAGTGAGGGTTGTAAACTCTTGGAACAATCAACAAGAGAGTGTTGTGACGGCACCGAGTGTGAGCTCTTTCAAGACAAGACTTGACCAACACTGGAGCAGGTTCAGGTACATTCAGGAGCCGGTGCATGCCCAGTACTTGCCAACAGTGCGTGACAGAGACGTGACCGATCGCTCGGGCGGCTAACAAGCCGATCAGTGGGGAAGAGGATAAAAGGAAAAAGGAGGTTGAATGGAGGGAGGCGGCACCCACTGCCTCAAGTGAAGTCACTGAGTGTGACTGATGTCTTTACCAATATGGCGGCGCTTGTCTCTCAGTGACTTCATCCTCTTTAGTTGATCCCTCTATAATGTGCATAATAAATAAAACAATAGTATAAATTAGGGTTGCCATATCTGAACATTAAAAAAGAGGACACGTTCCCGAAGACATCCTGCCCCCGCCTGGCACACACTTTGGCGCTCTGGAAAAGTACAAATCGTAAGCACTAGCTGCGGCAACAAGCGACAAACACTGTCACCGCAGGTTCAAGACTGGCCAACCACCGGTCACCGTCATAGTTGTCAACACACGTAAATAATATAGCGAAAGTGGCTAGACTATGGTTGAAAATTGCTAAAAATGCCTTAAATGTAGGGCAAGAAAAACAAATGCTACAGTGTGAAAAAAGCCATAAGAAAATATGGTATTCTTTCAACATTTCATTTATGGTTGTAATAGCACTAAATACAAAAAAAAAAATATAATAATGCGCTTGGCTGAAAAACAAGGAAAAGCAGTACATGGCACTACAGGCTAGCCCAAAAACTGCTAGCAGCTAAGTTGACAACACCGTATAGGCAGGCGTGTAGTCGATTTCTCCCCTACAAACGCTGTTTGTCGCTGAGTAGCCGACCCCGCGAATTCCCCAGTGTATGCCTCGTGGTCTGGATCAACCAGCGCTGCCATACATCACGGAGGTCAACTACTAAGCCACGCCTACCCCCGCTATTTAAGACCTGACCTCGTGGTGACCTCTCCCAGCTACAGCCGCAGCAAGCAACACCACCTCCTCCGCCGCTGCCTGGCGGTCCTCGCTCCCGCCGGCGAGCATGGCGACCCACAAACTTGTCCTCCTCTGAGCACCCTCACCAACCAGCTCTCTCTACTCAACGCTGGTAACCATGCTGCCTTCCTAGCATCAAGCTGCATTGTACATCCAATTCAACATGTATACAGAGAGCACATTGTGAGTTTCCTTTCTCCATCCCATCCTGAGTGTGAACCAAACAACCCGTACCCCACAAATGGTGACCCCCGGAGATTCGCACTCACACAGGATGGAGGAGAAACCTATCACTCTCCCAGTCTTCAAGCAACATGGAAGACTGGCTTATCCACACAGAAGCAGCTCTCATCGGCTCTACAGCTACTGTCTCTACACCGCAGGTTAGACAACCTAGAGCAGCACTGCTTCTCTAAGCAGACACCAGCTCCTCTTCCTGCCCCAAGCACCACGTCCTACCGACCCCAGCACATCCGTCTTGCCTCAGACGCCGCCCCCGGTCCAGCAGTACCCCCTGCCGCTCCTCCTGATGCTGCCCCTGCTTCCGACGCGGCCCATGCGCCTGAGTGTGGACCCACACACCCCTCTTTTCTCCCTCAGGTACTCCCTGCTACTGTCCTGCACCCTGCTGCTGTCGTGGACCCAGCTGCTGTCACGAGCCCTCATCCGCTTCTGCTGACGCAGCCCCTGCTCCTGACCCAGGCCCACACACCCCAGCAGGCGCATCTGACGACTCTGTACCTGCCGTGAGGGAAGCACAACATTCATCGCCTCCACACACCCTTTTTCTCACTCTCTACTCCCACAGATATTGTGTATCTAGACAGTTGTCTCCTCTAGCGGCCGGCTCATCCACGCC